TGTGATGAAACTTCTGGGATTTCACTGAAGATGTTTGGCAGGTTCCTCAGGAAGTCCTGCAGGTATTTATCAAAGTCCTTTGATTTGATTTGAAGGTCAGTTGGGCCCTGCCCACTCAGTAGAGCATGAGACTCTTAATCTCAGGGTCATGGGTTTGTACCCCATGTTGGGTGCTAATTTGTAACATGAATGAATAAAGCTGACTATCAGAAAAGCAAAGCAGCTGGCTGCTACCTCTAGCTCAGTCTGAAAGGGCTGGTGCATGTAAGAGCTCTTCACCAAGTCTCAGACTGCTGCCTCTCCTCAGCATGGCTAGAGAGCAAATGCCTCATACTGAGACCTTACTTCTGTCTTATACACTTCTCTAAAATTGGGATTAAAGGTATGAGCTATAATTCTTTTAAACTGACTCACTCTTATTTAAATCTGGGTGGCCATGGACTCACAGAGATCTGACTAACTCTTAGTTCTGAGTCCTAGGTTTAAGGTGTGTACCTCCTAGCTTCTGGCTGCTGGGATTAAAGGTATGTGCCTGGCTTCGAAGGCTTGTGGCTGACTTTGCTTTTCCTCAGGCAAGCTTTAATAAATCATAAATAATATATCACCACACACTCTCATTTTAATTCCTTTAGGATCTTAGTAATGTTACTCTATTGTTTTCCAGTACAAAGTAGTACTGTTGAAATATCTGGTGAAAGTATGATCTTCTTCCTCTAATAAGCAACTTGATCCTCTTGTCCAGGTGCAAAAAACTTCATCTTTGAAATACAGTTATTTTAGTAAGATGTGTCATGATCATGATCAACTTCAGTTGTTGTCATTCTATTAGGGTTTCCAGGTGTTGGGGGTACTCTTTCAATGTGGTAATTTAAACCTTTTGTTCATCCATTATTAGGTGATTTTCTTTCTTGGGACATACATTCATTAAAATAATTTTCTCTACTTTTTATATCTCTCATTTTCACCTGAATCATTTTTTCTGTTTAATTCTTTGCACATCTCTTTGATTACATTATCTAAATCTAGTCAGTCCTTAGTTCTTTCTACTTTAGAGTAAATTTTGAAAGAGAAACTCACCCTTAGTTTTTCTGTTCTTACCTGCACCCTGTTAACTATCTTTTTGCAACACTCTATTTTTATTTATCATGTTCATTAGATTTCATCTTTTCATTTGTTTCTGTAGTACTCTTAGTTTCTTTCAGCTCATTTTGTAGTATTAAGTTTTTTGAAGTTTGTTAAACTTTATTAAAGTTTGTAACATTTATTGGATTTTTATTATGCTTCTGTGCCACGAATACTATTACCTTGTGGTGATCTTTGCAGTTTGTTGCTGCTCCCATATAAATTAATAGTTAGCACTGTGCTCATAGAGAACAAGAGTGTAAAGTAATAGAGTATTTCAGAATTTTTATTACCTTCATGATGAGAACTCTCTGCTGTTAAAATGTAGCCCACAGTTTAGTCACAGTTGTGAGGTTTGTATTCTCTGGATGCTATCAAAGAAATGAACATTCTCTTACCCCTCATCCTATGCCATCCTTGACCTGAGTTGCCAGCACATTGTCTGAAGGTCGGTGGGAAGCCTGTATGGTCATTCTTCATTCACACCCTTCTCCTTGGTTCACTGTTGGATCTCCACTTACTTCATTCGGGGTTCTAATCAGAGTGGGATCATTTCTTCATCTGGGTATGTGATGTTGGTTTCCATGTTTAGTGGCTCTTGGACCTACTTCGTCTCTTCCTTCTCATCATCCAGGGACTGTTTTAGTTTCTGCTATTGGTTTGGCCTTTGCCCTTTGTGCCACTTATAGATCTTAACCAACCCCACATCTGACAGAGAGCTGATTTCCAAAATATACAAAGAACTCATGACACTAGTCACCAAAACACCAAATAATCCAATTAAAAAGTAGGGTACAGAACTAAATAGAGAATTCTCAATAGAGGAATCTAAAATGACTGAAAGACACTTAAGAAATTGCTCAACATCCTTAGACATCAGGGAAATGACAAAACAAAACAACTCTGATACCATCTTACACCTGCCAGAATGGCTAAAACAAAACAAAACAAAACAAAACAAAAAAAAAAAAAACCAAAAAAACCAAAACAAAACAAAACACCAACAGCAGTTTATACTGGAGAGGATGTGGAGAAAGGGGAACACTCCTCCACTCTGTTGGTGGGAATGCAAACTTGTAAAGCCACTTTGGAAATCAGTATGGTAGTTTCTCAGAAAAATGGGAATCAGTCTACCTCAATATCCAGCAATTCCACTCTTAGGCATACACCCAAAGGATGCACATTCATACAACAAGGAGTGGATAGGGGTTGGATGGGGGAGGTTAGTGAGGGGTATGGAAGGATGGGAGGGAGAGGGAACTGAAATTGATATGTAAATAAGATCATTTCTAATTTAAATTAAAAAAATAAAAAATAAATTTAAAAAAATAAAATCACCTGTGTCCCTTTCCTATTGCAATCTTACTTGTATTATTTTTATTTCAAGTTCTTTTTTTTCATTGAGGGGTAAGAATATATATATATATATATATATATATATATATATATATATCACATGCTGCCACCATAATTTTGATTTTGCTTCTTCAGAAACCTATTAATTATTTAAAAGGAACTGCTGACAATATACATTTAGATGTCATGGTATCCATCACCTATGACTAAAACTACCACTTACAGATGGATGAGTGATGGGAGATGTCATTCTGTAAATGTTTCTCATGCTGGTTAATGAATAAAGCACTGTTGGCCAATAGGAAAGGAAGATAGGAGGGGCTAGGAGATAAGGAGGAAATAGGAAGTAGTAAGGAGGAGCCAAGATGGAGAGTTGGGAGAAAGCAGTATGCCGGCCGGCTCCCCCGTAAGAGAAATACATAGATCAGCAGAAATGGGTTAATAATTAAGGCAGAGCTAGCCGATAAGAAACAAGTAACCGGGCCAACAGCATTGCATCAAATACAGAGACTCTGTGTATTATTTGGGGCTGGCGTGGCGGCGGGACAAGACCGGCGGGCGGAGAAAACCGAACTCCTTACAGATGAGTCCTACATTCACAACTTTGGCACAGATCTCACCTAGGTTGTGATTTTTTTTTTTTTTTATCAAAGCCTTTATAGACCCTCAAGTTGCATGTGTTTCAAAACAAAACACATTTTCTTTCCCTTTTACATCACCTTCTGAATATGGTTTTCCTTCTCTAGCTAATTTTAAAATCAGTGTCATACTATCCATTAGCTCCCTAGGACAGAGCCATAGAACTTCCCTCTTTTCTGCTCATTCACTGCCAAGCTAATGGTCAAATGGGTGGGTCTGTTATGTTTCCCAAATCTCTTTCAAAGCTGTACTTAAAATGTTTTTATTAATTTGTTGAGAGTTTCACACAATGCTTTTCAGCACATTCACACCTAACACCTCCCATTAACTCCTCCCAGTCCCAGAGGACAATTTGTAAGACTGTCATTTAGTAATTTGACCTATGGTGTTTACACAGACATCTCCAGTTGTACTAGTTTTAAGTGTGTACAAGCTGTACAGAGAATTATATAAGTGAATCATTTCTCATTAACTAGAAAAAGCACTGTCTACTATTCTCTATACAAGCAGGTTTCATTATCTCCCAGTAGTCAGAATCCAACCTCTTCTATGGCTTCTTTGTCTCCCATGATTTTTTGCTCTAATACATGACCCAGGCTACCAGATTGTCTTAGCTCCTGAATACTCAAATGTCTCTGCCATACTTTTGAGAGCCATGGGATACACATGAATACCCAAATCCTCTTCCATCTGGTTAGAACCTTGACTTTCCATCTCACCTCACACTGCTTCCTTAATCCATCCTGTTCTCAAGCCCCATGAAACTTATAAACTCAAAAGCCACATACTACCTGGAATACCCTTTGATCTCATTTCCACAGAGATTGCTCTCATTTCTTCAAACTCAATATTAAACCCACATCTTCTAAAACTTTCCCCAGTACTGAAGTAGGAATAGAGGTTTCCCTGTTTCTCATAGTTATCCCCATGTGGTACCTATGTTGGGTTCCCCCTACATGATTATGAGTCTTATTTCATCTCTGTGCCTTCTTAAAGTGTGAATTCATTTAAAACTGTGGTCTTGGTTGTGTCCAGTTCCTGGTGCCTCTAGCAATCAATACAGCAGTTCAGTAAATGTCATGTTTGAGTGACCAAGCATGTAAGGCTATGAAAACAGGACTACTCGATTTAGAATGAGCAATTATAAGTTAATACTTGTCATATTATAAAAAGTTAATGCAGGATGGTTCAATGGCAACCTATCCATAGGATAACACTGGGAGAATGATCTTAATCTAGGTATCACATATTTCCTTTGATCCATCAAATACCAATTATAAAGGTAAAGATTAAAAATGCAAAAGAGAAGCTCAACCAAGTTTATTAGACATTGTAATAAAGTCAAGAAGTTGCAGGCTGGGTGAGAGATTGCTTCGTGGTTAAGAGGGCATTCTGCTCTTGCTGAGGACCCAAGTTCCATTCCAAGCATCCATGTTAGATGGCTCACTTATACCCGTAACTCCACTCCACTGTATCTGATACCTCTGGCTCTGTAGACACCTGTACACACACACACACACACACACACACACACACACACACTTAATTTTTTTAATTTTTGAAATAATAAAAGCATCCAAAATTGAAACTTCTTGAGGGCAAGTCCATTTTAAGTATAAGCTGAAGATTTCTTCCATAAATTGTGTGCATGGGAGAGACAGAAACACACACGTAGAGAAACAAAGCAAGAGAGTGAACAAGAATGAGAATTCGAGCAGGAGAGCATCTTCCATGTACTTACCAGGTCCACAACTGGCTTCTGAGTGACCATGCCCTGGCTATGTGCCAGTTTCTCACTAGTGCTGGTCTGAACCTCTTCTGGAAATACTTAGCAGCTGAAACAAAGGAGGAGCAGAGAGGGAGGGGTTAAGAATGGTTCTCACCTTTGACCAGTCTCCAGCAGTCAGCTGTGGAGGGCAGTCTGTCCTGGCACAGGACTTGTGAGAAGATGCTTTGGGTCCTTGGCACAATTCATCTGACAAATTCAAAAAGCTTCCATCCGTTAGCAGCTGCCGACAGGTGACTCTCCGGTTCTGCATTCCCCCACCACATGTCCTGGAACACTAAGAAAAGTGACTGTGAAGCCGTGGTCTTGCTTTCTGTTGATGAAAAGCAGGGCACCCGCCATTATCATAAGCAGAATGTGTGATGGGATGCCAGGCTTCTCTACCTGCTGCCATTCTTCAATATGCCAGCTAGGAGGGCAATCAAACTGATTGCATGCTCGTAAGGCATGAGGCTTGTCATCTCTGCATTCCTCCAGAGGGGCTGGGGAGTCCTCAGGATGTAGGCAGTATACATCTCGGGTCTGGATTCCAACACCACAGGTAGCTGAGCAGGGTCCCCAAGAGCCCATGTGCCATCTGTATCAAAGATCAGGTGGGGAAAAAGGCAAAGGCAACTGGGAAAAGGTGACCCTTCAAACAAGGCAAAACACAAGTGTAGACCATCTCAAGCTCCTCTCTGGACCTCTAGAAGAGCAGTTCTCAATCTATGAGTTGTGGCCTCTTTGGGAGTCACATATGAAACACCCTACATATCATATAGTTACAGTATGAATCATAACAATAAAATTACAGTTATGAAGTACTAACAAATAATTTTATGTTTGGAGTTCACCACAACATGAGGAACTATAAAAGGGTCACAGCATTAAAAAGGTTGAGAACCACTGCTCTAGATCTTGTTACTTTGTACAAACTGGGGTGTCTCCAAGAATATTTATGATGAAAACACAGAAACTAGACATTTAAAGGGACAAAATGACTGGGAAGTGGTTAAATGTCTCACCTGTCTGGGACGATCCTGAATGACAGGGAGCAGATTGTTTTTCCTATCCTGCCTTGCCACCACTATCCATCAAAAATAAAACCTTGACTTGCTTTTGAGTCCCAAGGCAAAGATGATTTATGGAGGCACCAAAGGAGGTTCTAAATGCTTACAAACACATTTCATGAAGTCTTTGGGGCACCTGGATTCATTATTTGTAATATCCTCGAGAAAAATTCCTTTATGTTAGAATTGGATTTGCAGCATATATATAATGTGATTCCTTTCTAATAAGATCTTGGAAAAATCAAGTTTCCTTGTGAAACAGCTGGAAAAATGAAAACTATAGCAGCTGCATTAGATTCATATTTCCAAGTCACTTCAAGAAGACTCTTGCAGTATACCCCCTCCCACCCAAAGCTTACACACCCCATTTCCTGAGGTGTTGGGAATTCCATTTTAAAAGTCTTTGCCCATCAGATTAGTGAATGTTGTATGTTATGGTATTTTACTTGTGGACATTTGATATTTTTAGGGAACATGAATTCTTAACTAGTTACCACAGAGATACGTCAGGAAGGAACAATTTTAAAATGCTTAGGACATATGTTAAAAAAGATACTAGCTCCAGAGTGTTTTGCAATGAATAAAAAGAAAAATAATGAGTTTCACAAAGTGAAATAATATCATACGCGTTTAAGCAGTGGGGGACAAACCTGTGGTGCAGTACTGCTACTCATTAAATGCTAAAGCAGACACACAGTAATTACACACAGGACATTGGTCGACTGGTGTGTGTGTGTGTGTGTGTGTGTGTGTGTGTGTGTGTGGTTGTATTGTTGACCCAAAAGCCTCTCACACCATATAGGCACAAAATCCCTGAGGTCTAAATAACAGTATTTCTGGTTTTTGTAATTTTTTTTGACGTTTATTACATTCATTCATCATAAAGGTATTCATTGCCAGAGAACAGTTCACTCAAAAAAACATATATTTAAAAGTAATTTTCAATTTTCTCAGTTTCTATAGTAAACATGCATACTTTTCTATGGTGAAAATGAGAACGAAACTCACTCATGACAAGATACAGAGAATAAAAATTGTATTTATGAAAGGAAGTTTGGTAGTGAAGAACTAACAATTCAAGCATAACAGTAGGATAAGAATCAGGTTGGGATGTCATGTGTTAAAGGTTTGGGCCCCAGCTTGGTTCTATTAACAGGTTGTGGAACCTTTGAGGTCCAATGAGAAGATTTATGTCACTGGGGTGGTGGGACTCCAACCCCTTGCTCTCTCATTTGCCACCAGAGGACATTAGGTTTCCATATACTCCTTCCTAGCATGACACACTGAGCCCCCACAGGCCCAAAGCAATGGTACCTATCAGTGGAGGACTTCCAGACTGTAAATTGAAAAAAAAAAAATCTCCTTTTAGCAAAGCAGCTGCCTCTGGTACTTGTTAAATTGTTCAAAAGTTGACTAATATAATGCACATGTACTATGAGCTGCTAGGTATTGGAAAAAAAAGGATTTCTATTTAATCATTTATTTGGAAATATCTTTGAAATAGATTTCCAGGGAACAGCAAAATATTCATTCAAGAAAAGGACTAGACTATTAGTTTAGCCATGGAATTCCTACAAAAGTTCAAGGAATATGTAAATCCTGTTTGATATTTAATTTTTCAAGGTAAAAAATAGAATTAAAATATTTTAATGGATACTATGAAATCTGCAAAATCCTGGGCACAAAGACTCATATAGAAGGAAAATAATTCTATATTTGAGTATCTAAGTCCTGCATAAAAGTAGAAATCACACTGCATAGAAACATCTTAGTTAAGACATTTGTGTTCCACCAAGATTTACATGTTGAAGCACTGTCCTCCATTAGGATGATGTCTGCAATGAGGCCTATCAGAAGTAATGCAAACATGGAGAAATCCAGTATCCAAAGGCCAGGCAGGGAGTGGGCTCCATAAACCAGACCCTACAGGGCGTTCACCTTTCATTTTCTAGCCAAAGGGAAAATAAAGTTCTATTTCTAAATTACCCTCACAGTGGTACTTTGTTCTTACAGCCTGAGATCACTAATATAGTAAGTTTTCTGACCAACTTGGAAGCAAGTTAGACAAGACCTAAATATTTTTAATGCATGCAATAATCTTCTAAATTATCTAGGAGCATGTATGATTTCACACAGAGGAAAAATGTCTGAGAAATTATATAAATATTAATAGAAGGAATTGTAGTTAGTATTTTAAAATGCGTATTAAAAAAAAACCAAAATGTCAAAACTTGTAGGATACACCTAAAACTGATTAGAAGAAAATCAATAGCTTTAAATACATATTTGAAGAATAAAGATTGACTTTAAGACACTGAAAAAGCAACTAAAGGGGAAAAGTAGAAGGGAGTGATAGATAAAAGATGAATGGATGGATGGGCAGACGAACAGATGGACAGATAGACAGATTAGGGGTAGCAGAAATGAATAAACTGGCAGATAACATCTGTTTCTTCAAAAGTCTAATCAAATTAGCATGTCTTTGAGAAAGTCTTAAAGAAAAAGCACAAATCACTGATGCTAGGAATTTAAAAGATAATCTTGAAAACTGAAGTCCTTAAAATGAATGTAAGTTTATAGTGAAAATTGTCAATAAATTTGAAAATCACAACCTTCCTGCTTCAGTATTTTAAATGCTGGGTGGTATCACAGACACCACCATTCTAGGTTTGTCTGATTTATGGTTGTCAAAGCGGTCTTCTCTCACAAGAGGATTCTATCCTTTCACAGACAAAACTAACATATTTTAGTTTATAGGGTGACTAGTTTCCATAATTTGAATTTTCGTTAAAGTATATTATTTCTTATCCTCATTTTGTCCTAGGGCTTATCAACTTGATAAGCAAAACCTATTTAGTCAAGAAGTCTGGCTTGCTGGGCTTGGCAACTGCATCCATGCAAGCTCTGACTTTAATACTGGATTAACATTCTAGATTGCACATTGACTTGTTTTTACCTCATGGTGAGGGCCAACATTTCTACCCATAACTTACCCCTGTTTCACTGAATTTTTGTTTCTAGTGTTCAGATTGTTTCTTTGTAACACTCATCCATTCTTACTCTATTTTTGCCTATTTCGGTTTCATAACTTTCCAATTAAGTATATGGATAATATTAATTTCTATCTCCAAAGATACTAATAACTTCAGTCTTTTTCAGCTTTTTTGATGTGTGTTTTAATATCCCCCAGAGTAAGTTCATCTTGCAAATATTGTACCTAACTATTTTTGTTAGTATTGGATGTCTTTCTTCTTGAGTTTGGAATTTCAACTTTTAGGTGAAATTTGAAGAAAGTATGAGATTCTCTATTTCTCTTTCTCTCTCTTCCCTGCTCTCCTACCTTCCTTCCTTCCCTTCCTGTTTTCTTTTCTCTGTCAAGCAGGAACTGAACTCTCATTTGTTATAGATACATTGAACCTCTAGTGTGCGAAGAGACCCCAAGGGCCAGCTTTCTTATCACATCATACTCTCATCCCTTGCAAGCTCCTATAACTGCTCTCATGGATTTGCTATTGGTATATCATTTTAATTTCTCCTCTTCACACCAGTCATCTACATTTGGAGTAAACCATGAGACACCAACACTATTTTAACTGGAAGTTTATCAATTAGACTATCACTGATCATATCGAAGTTTCTGTAGCTTTGGGCATGAGAAAAGTCACAAACAGCTCATGGGCACACACCCAATATTTTGTTGGCAATGTGACAACATACTAATTATTTAGGAAGTATCTTTTCACTCTTCATATGATTTGTCTTAAACTTGTAAACATTATTGGGAATGACTTCAGCCTAATTATCTTTCAAAAGTATGGAACTAGAAAAATCAATTATAGCCCCAAGGGACAGAGGATGGAACTACTTTTATCCTGGAAGTGGGCAACAGTTTCTTATCAGCTGACAATGAACTACATGTGTGTGCACTTATGTCTATAATATATATGCATATGTATTAATTCAAGAAATGAGCAACAGGTTGGTGCAAAAACACATCACTCTTGCCTGTTGCTCTCCCTCCCCCCTCCCATGAGGCCCTGACTCCTGATACAGAAGAAGACAGTCTTCAGACTAGTGGAACCATTATGTAACCCTGTGTGTTTCTATACACTTCTGGCTCTCTCCTGGAAAAGGCAACTCTGTAAAATAGCAGACATGCAGCAGTTACAGGACAATCCAGGGGGAGCAACCTCACAAGAGCAAATAAGCATACAGCACGCCCCTTGGAAGCCCAGGCTAATACATCAAGTGCATTTGCCTTAGAGTAAATAAAGGTCTGTGACTGCCCACCTCAGTCTCAGTGGTAAGTTTTACCCTGGGGTGAGATTTTACTGCTATTGCCCTTGGAGTCAGTAAATATTTATATGGAAAATATTATGCATGCCCCTGTCCCTGTTATTCCTACACCACTGATTTCTAGAACCTAAAACATTTTTGTAAACCTACCTTTATTTTGGCATGGAACCTTTGCCTCCCCTGGGTTTCCTCCAACATAACTCTCCGTCTTTGAAAAGGTTATTAAAGTTGC